CCTGCTCTGTGATCGAATATCCCCTCCGTGCCCCTCCACAGCACTTAAGTGCATGGGGTGATGTGTTCTAGCTTGGAGAGAGCAGGTGTGAGGATCACTCATGCCACTGCCGTTGGCCCCACCCAGGGCCTGGCGTCGTCTGTGCTCAGTAAACATTCATTCTTGTTGAGAACCCAAGAGGGAGTTGATGAGAGAGCCTATAGATGATCCCTGAAACCTCAGCTCCAAAAGCTGCATTCCAGAAGTCAGATCCTTCACTCCCAGCAGGACTCTGGGGCACAGACTTGTAGCCAATTGAGTTTTGGATGTCATTCCAACAAGCCAGATGGCCTGGTTCCTTGAAGCATCAGAAAGACATTTAAAGAAGCAGGTGGTTACTTACTAGTGGGCAGCAAGGGATCTGAAGGCTTCTCTGCCTGTAGCTGCCTCTGAACCCACCCTGCTGAATACATGTAGTCTGTGCCGGCCTCTAAGCTCTGCACTGTTCCAGTGTCCCAGCTTTTAGATGAAAATTAGAAAAATATGTAGGAAACACCTGTGACATCAGGTTATTTCCAACTATAAAAGTAGTGTCTTTCACCGTAGAAACTCCCAGACACACCTAAAAGGATAAAGAGGGGTCAGTGTCACTCCAGGATCTGCAGCCAAAAGCTGACCTGTCACGCCACGGGTAGTCTCTCTGTCTCCCTTGCATGCACATCTGTACCTTTGGCAGTGATGGACATCGCCGTGCATATTCATGCTTACCAGCTCTTTTTTTTTTTTTAAATGTGAGGTGTACAGCTTTGTACTTCAACATCTGCATCTACTATGTACCAGACACAAAGTCTAGTTTCCATCCACTACCATGCGTTTGACCCCTTTTACCTGTCCAATCTTCTTGCCACAGTTCCCCCTTCCCGGCAACCTCCATTCTTTTTTATTTGTATTTTATTTTTTAAATTTTTATCTTTTTATTTCCATACAGTGTATGCTTTATCCACTCATGTATGGCCCCCAAGGAGTGGCCCACAGCTCCCCCATGCACATCACCATAGTCCCTTGTGCTCTTCCCACTGCTACAAGCCCTTTTCTCCCTCCCCTCACCCCACAGAGAATGTCTCTGGATTATAGTAAGCTCCACTCTATTGTCAGAATCTAAAGGTTTGTTTTTGCATTATTGTACATTTGCTTTTTTAATCTTCTACATAAGTACAAAGCCATCCAGTAATTGTCTTTTTCTGAGCATTGATTGAGCATAATCCCTTCTAGGTTCATCCAGGTCATTAGAAATGACAATATTTCTTTTTTTTTTTAATAGCTGATTTGTGTTCCATTATGTACATATATATTCATCAGTGACCACAGGTTGTTTCCAGATATGACCACCATGAAAAATAATGCATTGAACCACACGGCAGGGGGTATGTGTGTCCACATGTATATGTGCCTATATTTCTCTTTGAATTGGTATTTACACATTCTTCAGATAAATACCCAGAAATGCAACATACCTAATTACACATTTATAGTCTTATTTTTTTCACTGAAAACAGTCACAGTCACTATCAGAAACCTTTGAGCTCTTTCTAGAAGCCTCACCTGAACTTACGCTTAATGAAGTTATTGCGGATGATGAGTTCTCACTCCCCATCCCACTCCCATCTAATGAGCAGATCAGTTCTGCTAAAAGGAGGGGATTTTTGTCATATATCTCTTCCTCTGCAAAAGAAATCGTAGAGAAATTGCTGCCAAACTCTAACTGCCTCTGCAACTTTAAAACATGCTGAGCAGAAGTAGATGTAAACAAATTGTTTCCCCACAGCAGAAACGTTTTGCTGTGGATAAACATGCTTTTCTATATTTCCACCTTTGACAGTGTAATAGTGCTCATTACCTCTCCTGTTTGCTTCTGGAATCATGTCATCAGTGCCGGGCCACAGTACAGGAGGTTAAAAATGAGCTCTGAATGGAAAGAAACCTTGTTTTGAGAGTCATAAACCTTGTGACTTCCTGGCGGTGCATCCAAGGAGCTCCACTCCCCACCACTCCATCATCTGAGAGTAGGCTTGCAGGCTGGGGGTGGGGCCCAGAAAGAGGAGAATGTGGGGCGCTAGGAGGAATTTAATCCAGGGTTGGCTTTTCTGATTTGAGATATGAGGCTAATGGGCTGGTTAGGGGAATTAGAAATGGAAGAAATTTCCCTAATAATGCCCTCACCTTTTGATGCCTACAGCCTTAGAAACTTGCCAGGTAAACTTGTTTCAAAGGCCTAAGGAATAGCTACTTACCTACTGGCCTAGTTGCAGTAATCAGGTATTTAAAACTTTTGGAATTGGTGTAACTGCTGGTCACATTCGTGATGTGAACTGGTCAGTTAACAGAAACCTATAAGGCTGACCTACTTGCAAGGTGTGGTTCACTGTTTGAGTCTTCTTTGCTCCCCATCCATGGCCACCCCCTACCTCTCAATGAACACAGCCTTGACTAAACAACTGTTGTGCAGACAGATGCAGCTAGAAGATGTGTCCCTGCCACATACAGGCCCTCTGCCCTGTCCCACCACTGCTCACCTGTTCATCGCCTGAGCCCTTCCCAGTAGGAAGATACAGGTCACTGTCACCATCACATGCAAACGAAGGCCTGGAGGTTTCTGTTGGATTATATTGGCCACGCAGAAGAACTGTATGCTGGTTGTTCAATTCTGTGTATGTGAATCCTGTATGTGAATTCCCTGTTCATTCAATTCTTGTTTCTCATTAGTAGAGAGACATTTCAGACACAGGGAATTGCACCCTCCCCCCCTTCTAATTAAGGTCTTACTTAAAAGCAGGTCATCGCTCATATTGTATTCTGATTAAGCTAGCGATAAATTGGGAAGTAAACAAGAACACCCGTGATCCCTGCCCATTGTTGAGCAGTAAACCCCTGGTACCACTAGGAGCAAAGCTGGTAGCACTGAAAGCCACAAATAAAGGGGTTCTGCATGTGCATGTCCTTTGTGGACTGTAAAAAGCCACCTCCTTCCAAGGTGGCCTCCAAGCCTCCTGCTCCACGAAAGCCCTGCAAGTGCCTGCTCAGAGACCTCCTCTGAGCCCCAGGCAGGGACCCGTTGTCATTGCTTTCTTCACTGCCCTTCACAGAATTTGTAAATTTTCTGTTGTTGATGACTTCATAAAACACTATGTGTCTCCCACACTCCACCTCCACAGCCTGTTTAATGCCTGTTCGGCTTCCTGTTAGGTTCCCAGCCCTAATTCAGCACCTGGCTAAACGAGGACTAAGTGAACTTCATGGGAGGGAGTAAGGAAGTCATACTGTCAGTTTTGAAAACATCACTTTCTAAAAAAAAAAAAGTAAATAAATTTTACAATTTACAAACCTATATATATTTGGGGGTGTACCTATATAAACCTAACCTGCCATCAACATTTTAGTGCCCTTCCCATTATCGGGTTGATGCCCTCTCCTCTTCCCATCCCCCACTCATGCTACCCCTTCTGGAAACCACTACATCTGTCATAGAATCCGTGAGTTCTTTTTGTTGTGATTTGTTTATTTTCTTTAGTGGTTTATACTCCACCTATGAAATAAACCATCTGATCATTGTCTTTCACTTTCCGCCATCTCTCTCTTAACATAATCACCTGCAATTTCATTTATTTACATTATCACCAGCAAGGTTGTATCTGTTGTTAATAGCTGAGCAGTCCCCACTGACCGCCTATCACCTCTTCTTTCTCTGCTCACTTGCCCGTGGACAGTAGCTTGCTTCCATGCCTTACCTGTGGTGAATAATACTGCTGTGAGCATGGAGGGGGCTACATATTTTTGAATCAATTTTTATTTTTCCTTTGATAAGGACCCAGGAGAGATGTTGCTAGATAATATTTTTAGATTTCTAAGGAATTTCAGTACCATTTTCCTTAGAGGCTGCACCCATTTATGTCTCCAACAACAGTGAATGAGGGTTCCTTTTTTACCACCCTCGCCTACATATATTATTTACAGCCTTTTTGATATAGGTCATTCTTACAAATGTGAAGTGATGTCTTATTGTGGTTTTGATATGCATTTCTCATATAAGAGGAGAAGGTGAACATTTTTTTTTTCCATGTTAACCATCTCTGTCACTTCTTTGGAGACGTGTTTAATCAAACCTTCTGTCCATCTTTTGGTTGGGTTCCTTGCTTTTTTACTGTTGGGTTGTATGAATTCTGTATATTTTTTAGCTATTTAGGGCATTATTGAAGAGACGTCAGTTTTTAACTGAGATTTATACATTTCTTTCATTCTGTAGTTTCAATCTGCACAGCCCGTTATGCTGACCACTTGCATAGTACTCAGTACGGAGTGAGAGTAATGTAAGAGTTCATTTCACCTGCTGTGTGGTGAGATCCTTCAGGTTGGATATGGCAACTAACTTGCCTGTACATTCACACTCCTGCCTCAAGGATATTCTGCAGATGGAATTTCTGATGTCCAAAGTATTCTGGCTGTCACCAGACTTCTGTTTGGCGGATTTCCTTTTTCTGAGATTGTTTTCTGCCAGGTGTGAGGTCTGAAGCACATCTAGATGTCCCTTCTGTGCTTAGCCTGAATATTCCAGACAAAAACATGTACCTTTGGACTTCACCTGCTCTCTTCCAGTTTATAAAGCCTTGTGATTTGAAGAAGGATGACATCATGGTTTTCTAATGTTGAACATCAAAAAAAAAAAAGTGTTAAGTTCAAACTTACATAGTGTTTCCTGCACAGAGCTAGAACTAGAACCAAAGACTTCTCATGTAGAAATTCAAGGCTGTGTGGGATTACTTAAAAGAGACCCAAGTATTATTCCCCTCTCCCCATCCCAGAGATCTAACCCCCATGCCCATCCTGGCTTGCTGTCACAATGTCTCACTGTCATCCTCTCGACAAATCCTGATCCCCGTGTGATCAGCAAAGGTGATATAAGATACTGATGGAATGCTGTGCCGATTGCTACATCACAATAGCTCCTCTCTTGTGTGTGTATCCAGGATCGACTGTTTTTTGTTATGGAGTTTGTGAATGGAGGTGACTTGATGTTTCACATTCAGAAGTCTCGTCGTTTCGATGAAGCACGTGCTCGCTTCTATGCTGCAGAAATCATCTCAGCACTCATGTTCCTCCACGAGAAAGGAATAATCTATAGGTGAGTTTTGGTTGCTGGAAACTCCTCTCATAATCCATCCCCCAATCACTCTCCTGGCTTAGTGCCTCCTTAGTTGCTCACAATGGTCAGTTGAAATAGTTTTGAAATTCAATTCACAAAGGTCTGAGTGTCCACTAGCACAAATGAATAACAGGGATTAACCTTGCCTGCAAACTGTTGCTTGCCCTGTGTGTTCTTGAGAAGCTCCGAAGAAGCTATTCAGAAAGGCCATCAGCCAGATTTGCTAAGGGCCTGTTAACAGCCAGACTGTGCACTGCTGCGGAATAAGAGCATGAGCAGTAGGAAATGTGCAGGGTTGGTTCCAGCGGTGAGGTCTGTTATGATCAGGAGATTGATCCCTTGAGCTGAAACCAAGGGTCCCTGGGAGGGGATGCAATGATAAATCACATCAGCTCATCGACAGTCCACCTCTTTGCTTCTGCTCTGGTAACTGCAGCCCCTTATGACTGAGAGAAGGATGGGGTGATAGAGGAGGCTGGCCAGGCATGATACAGAAATGCCTTCTAGTTCATGCTCAGCTAAGAGCCCTAAAGCGGCAACCAGGTATAGCCATTTGGATAAGAATGCAGCTGTGAGGTAGAGAAGAGGAGTAGAGGGCCAGGAGCTGGGACCACCGGCAGCCACACTCATTTGCCCAAAAGTAACCAGGAATAATCTCTGCTCTTTCTGAAGTCTCAGACCTGCCACTGGGCACTCTAGATACCTGTGTTGTGAGCTTTTTTGACCAGGCTCTCTGATATTCTGATGGCTCTACTACATAATTTTTCCTGTCTTAGCTTTCTGCCCAAAGCTGGACTAGAAGCACTTGCTGTCACAATCTCTAGGAGAGGAAGGAGTCAGGGGTCCTTCCTGGTGGTGGTGTCACACTCAAAATGTGATGGCAGCAAGAGCAGAACAGCATCGGTTCCAGCCCAGCCCCTTCCTCCGCTGCTCTCTTTATCCTCCTAATGATATTATTCTATAACAATAATACTGTTCATGTCACAGAAAATCCTCATCTAACATCATCATTATCAATAGGTTCTTAAGAATGTGACTTTCAAATTGCATATAATGAAACTAGGTTCTCAAATAATATCATTTATTCAGTGTCATGGGAATTTTTTTTCCCTTATCAACGTTACAACTTGAACAAAAAGGCATTCCTCAAGGACCTGCGGTATTGTGATGAATGACTGAGTCTCAGACTTAATAACCAGTCTGCTAAATGTCGGGAAGCCAAAATCAAACTGTGGTTTTCGCCACACTTGCCCGTGTGGGGTATGACTGTCTTCCCATATGCATGTAGCCTTTGTCTTGAAATATGGGTCCTGGAACATGGTGCCATTGCTGATGAACCACCGTCCGCTCATATCTTGAGAAGTGTTATTTCAATTCTTGGTGTCCATGGTTCATTTCTGAGAATTTAATTTGTTCTTCAGCTTGAATCTTATGTGCAGGCTCTAACTGATAAGGTTGAGTTTGAAAGGAACACATTTAATTAGGGTAGATTAAAATGCTACTTTTATCCTGTGGATTTATTTCACAAGATAATTTAGTTCCACTAGGGGTTCTGGCCTGAAAGCAATTCTTATGGATAAGCCTTTGAAAGCCAAGTCCTTGGAATTCGTGTACAGCAAAGGGCATATTTGGGTCATGGAGGGTGTGAGTTTGGTCCAAAGAGCACAGTGAGGAAGTTGGGAGCTCCGACAGCCTCATTTATCATACCTGCCCTGGGATGGCCTTGCTCCAGCTAAATGATCTCCAGGTGATGCCTCTGATCTATTCAGAGTTGTTAATTTGTTACTTTTCCAGGGAGGTGCTTCCTTTACAGCAAGTTATGAAGATGGTACCATCTACAGGTTATTGTCTAGCAGTATGAAAGAAGGCAGAGTCTTAGGCCACCTCAGGCCTAAGACTCCTTCCTCTCTTATCCCACTACACTGTGTGAAAGAAGATGGGCCAATTACAGTTACCAGCTTTTTCCGCCTGTGTCTGACCGTAGTTCTCAGATGTATTCACTTGCATTTCTTGGCAACTCAGAAGCCCAGTTCCTAGGAGATACAGCAAGGAAGGCTCTGCCCCTTTGCCTTTGCTTGGAAGGTCTGGAGCCTGCCATGGTCCAGAGACCAAGGGCTGGGAAGTAAGCCGTCAATGAGTTGCTTTGCTAAGGGGAAAAAAGACTATTCATTCTTTTGTCCTGGACTTGTTGGCTGATGGGAAGCCCAGATAGTGCTCATGAATAATTTACATGGACATTGACTTTTCTCCACAGTCAAGTCCCACAGAAAAGCTAGGGAGATAAAAGGGCATGCATGCTATTTACCTGCCCACCAGCAGCAAGGCACTGGTTCCTTCATGTTTCATTAGATGTACTAGAGAGAATTCAGCTATCATTGACATTTCAACCCCAACCTTCTAAAGCCAGCTGGTGCACATTGGATTTGCTCTTTTTGACAAAGTTTGGAATCCATCTAAAATATGTTAGAGCAAAATCATTTATAGAAGAGCACAGTTGAAATGTCTCTTCTTTTACCGTGTCACTTTTGAACACACAGTCCATTTCAGCACAGATTTTTTCTAACTCATACTTTGTGCCATATGCGGCTCTTGACCTGCTGAGTCCTTGGGTGCGTGCTAATCAATCATTACTGCCGACGTTCCAAGCATGAACTGCAGTGTTTTTGCTCTCCCGTTTTAAGTTGATGGCCAAACCTCTAGTTTTCATACCCTTATTAGCACATTGTTTCCAAAGTCACCTTTGATTTCTCCTCAATTGGTGAGAACAATATTGACCTACTTTAACTTTTTTTAAATCTAGAATTTAAATCTAGAATTTGGGAAGAGTAGTAATGTCCCTCTAAGATGAAATTGTCTCTGAACACAACTGTCCAATCTACTTGAATATTCCTATCTCTAATAACACTGATTCTTGATTCTCAAGAGTTTTATAAAGTGCCATTAGGTGCCTTGTGGGCTGCAGATATCAGTTATCTGAGCAGGGCTTTGCTGGGGGAGGCCATCTCTGTGAGCATTGCTGCCGTGTCCAAAAGTCCAGAAGTCACCTGCGCCCAATTCAGTTTTGTCTGTTGGGTCAGTGGTGGTGAGCACATGCTTGAATTAATTACTCTCTAATGTCTACCTTTCCCCTTATGAATATTGTCTATCATTTCCTGAGATCTTTTTTACTCTGAAGTATTTATTATAGTACAGCAGACTTTCAGAGTCGCCATATGTCTTGCATTTGAGCCTGGAATTTGGGACTAGTTACTTCACTTATATTGGAATATGATTTCATATTTGTTATTCTACTCATTAGTGAGAAAAATCTTCCTGTTAGATAAAGGCAAAAGTCAAATTCGGAGTTCTGTTTCCCTCTGCCATCATTCCACCTGCTCTAAGAAGTAGTGATGCTTTTTCTTAACCCATTGCTGCAAAGGCAGCTTGAAGTTGTAATTTGTTAGTTTTATATAATCCTGGTTTCTTCAGGATGTACTAGGAATTGTCATTGTTAGTAACTTTCACATCATATTTCAATTGTGAGTCCACATCAGATTTCAATCCTGAGTCCTTACCCAGGATCTTTACTGAAAATCAGAACCTTTCATTCTTTTTCTTGACTATCCTTTTCGTAGCCTGACATAGATCGTTTTGCCAAATGGTGGCTGATCTCATGTTTGCTCTGCAGCTGGCACTGGAAAGTGATCCTCACCTCAGCTGCCTAAGATCCTTTTTTTCAGGAACATGATTGAGAGCTTAAACACTTTTTAGCCCACTAGAATAACCTGACATTTCCCCAGATGAAACTCCTTGGCCACTTTCTCCTTCCTGGCAAAGCCTTCAGAGATACTGAACAGATGTTTATTGAACATCTACTTTCTGCCAAGAATATGGTACAGGAATGAACAAAAACAAAGATGTCCCTTTGTAAAGGAGAAAACATCAATGAAGAGATCCTACGCATGGAAACTCACAGCTGTGGCCAATGTGAGGTAGAGGAGGAATGTGATACAATGAATGAGAATCTAACACAGTGATTCAGTTTCATGAAGGAAAGGTGGAAAATTTCCCTAAAGTAGTGACTCTTAAACTGATGTAACTAGTGCAAAGGGAAAAAAAGTGCTTTCAAGACAGACAGGACAGCCAATGCAGGTGTCTAGTAGTGGGAGTGGTGTTCAAAGACTTGACTTGACAGTGTAGTTAGAATCTAGGAGACCTGTCTTCTTGTAATTGGCATGGAACATGGAGTCTGAGATGCAGGTTAAAGCAGACTTTCTAGTGGAGGTGACATTTCAGCTAGTGTGGAAACTTTAAAGCTGAATGAAAATAAGGAGGGTATTTAGGTAAGGGACAAGTTTGAAAAAAAGCTGAAAAATATGAAAATTCATAGTGAATGTGTAGGTGGGTAGAGTGTAAAACTACAACAATTTTTGGAGTACTAGAATGTAAATTTTGAGGTTATGGTAGAGCTAGAACTAGAAAATTTGGCAGAAATGAAACTATGAACAGCTTAGCATTCTTGGGGTGTTTGAATTCTCTTATGTAGTTTGACACCATCACCTGTCATAAGAAATATAAAATGACAGTGACTTAAGCCATATAGAAATGAATTCTGTAAACTGTCTTGAGGTAGGCAATCCAGCTCTGCTGCAAAAGTTCCAAAGAGTCATATGAACTCAGATTTAAGGTCACCTCATAGTGTAAAATGGCTGCTGCAGCTCCAGGAGTCCTCTGTATTCCAGTTCCAGGCAGTAAGAAAGGGAAAAGAGAGGGCTCCTACTTAAGTCAGCTCCCTTTAAGGAGCTCCTGAAATCCTGAAAGGAGGCTACCAGGAAATTGGCCACAATTTGGTTACATAGCTGCACCTAACTTCAGTGAAAGCTAGGAAAGTTACCAGGGAATGGTTCAGCTGAAGGTCAAGGTTTTCTTATTAAGGAAAAGGGGGGTTATTTGGTTAAATGGTTATTTGATGGGAAATTCAGTTTCAAGCATAAAACTCC